TTTTTTTTTTTTTTTTTTTTTTTACAAATCCATTCACCTTGTAATTCAGTTCCATTTTAAGGACATTTTACACAGGTAACTACTGTACTTTATAACAAGCCCTTTTTTCCCTTCCAGTTTTGGAAAACCAATGGCTTTGCAAAAGGAAAAGCAAGCTCAGCCCTTTACAGACATCTTTGATGAAGATGAAGCTGAAAGATCCTTTCTGTTGTCCAAGCCTGCATGCTTAGTTGTCATGGGAAAGCCAGTAAGATGTCTGATAGAAGTTTTTTCTTCAGATATTCTTCTAAAAAATTTACTTTTCCTGTCAAAACATTAGTTTAACAATGCTACCAAGAGGATCAAATACCTACTTTTCTACCTTTGCCACTCTTCAAATGCTGCAGAGGATGGTAAAGATTCTGGTCTCATTTAATGGGACCAATTCTTGCTTTGAGTGACCAGTCGATTGCAATTAAAAATGTCATTACTGTACTTAGAAATTATATATTGCCTCAAAACATTTCTTCTCTTTTCATGCTGACAGCTGGATTGTTTTTATTTTTATGGTGGTTTAACCCCAGCCAGCAACCAAACTCCACACTGTCCCCTCGCCCTTGTGGCATGGGACAGAGAATCAGAAGGGTAAAAGCGATAAAACTTGACAAAAGCCATGCTCATGAGYAGAGCAAAGCAAGGAATTCATTCACCACTTCTTATGGGCAGGCAGATGTTCAGCCATCCCCAGRAAAGCAGGTCTCCGTCACGCGTAATGTTGATTTGGGAAGACAAGCACTTATCACTCCCAAAGCACATCCCATTCTTTCTTCTTCCACTGCTTTACACGCTGAGCATGATGCCAAAYGCTCTGGAATATTTGTGTCAGTCAGGGTTCAGCTGGCCCAGCTGTGTTCTCTCCCAACTTCCCATGCACCCTCACTCTCAGTATGGTAARCAGGCAAGGCCTTAGCWYTGTGTAWGCCCTGATCAGCAGTAACAGAAACATCTCAATACTATCAACAGGTTTTTTTGAACACAAATTCAAAACACAGCCCCACACTAGCTACTGTGAGGAAAATTGACTCTACCCCAGCCAAAATCAGAACAATGCTATTAAAATATTTCAATTTTTAATGACAGATTAAAGATATAAATTGGTGTAAAATAACCTGATGTATTGACTTACATACATGCAATGAGATATTACATATCTTAATATTAAAACTATGACTCAGTTCTATACTATATATTTGAAAACATTCAGAATCCACCAAGGTGTCCTGATAAAAGGATTTGTATTACATTTTAACTATAATTCAAGGAMTCTCTTAAATAATTTGTGGCCTACTTAACTTAGAAAAATTTGATGTTTTGTAATCTTAARCTTCTCAGATTTCTTTTTCTTTTCCCCAAATATGGTTTTGCATTAGTGCCTCAGTTTGCTGAAGGGAGTTCTTTTTTTTTGGTGCAAGTTTGCCTTATAACTCATGATGGTTATATGCACTTGTAAGAGAGCACAGATTTCAATAGAAGACTACAGTGAACTAGCTCATCTAGTTTTAAATGAACATCARATTTTTTACCTTACGTGAAAAAGGTAACTTTACATTTATAGCACAAACCACTGTGAAATGCTGATTGAAGGGCAGTACAAACAATTTCTCATATTGTCACCCATTACCTTCAGTAGATGCTTGACATTAATATAGTAAAGGGTTGAAATTGTACAGGCCTTACCAGGAAAGCAGGGAATTAAATTGTSTATTTTTATGATAATATCTTTTACATATATGGCTGATGTGCAGAGCGCCCATCCTATTTACGATGTATTTTTTAAATTGAAAACATAGTGTCATTAAAGCAGAGCCAAATACATGTATTTTCATCACACCTGTAAGACGTAAGGAATGAGTAAGCTGGAGTGTTTGTTGATATGATCTTAACTAAAAATRTAATTTATTTGTGGGGCTTTGTTATTTTTAATCAAAAAATTTATCAAGGAAAACAAGCTGTCAAAACAGGTCTTTTTATATGSTCTTCTAAAAATGGGCATAATCTAAAGGTGGAAGATGATGAGTTTTGCAAAATCCCATTCAGATAGTCATACTCGTAGAGGTCTCATAACTCCTGGTTATGAGTTCCTCTGTATTTATGTAAATGATAAAGATTTGTAGACTAACAAGGGCAGCTTTTAAGCATTTGTTGTCTTAGTCAAAMAATATTATCCGTATGTATCCTATTCAGAAAGGGTTGAGTAAGTTTGCATTATAATTTGCTTTGAGGCTGAAGATAATAAATGTTACTCCTAAGGAGTTTCTCGTAGGAATTTGTGGTCAAATTATAGCTGAGTTTTACATGGAATTGCTCAGAAACAAACTCAGTATAATTATTTTGGAGATAATTAGCTACAGAGACGGTAGCAATATATTATAGGCAATATAAAGTAGAGGATGGTATTAAAAGGTATGTTTTGTGTTTTCCCAACGCATAAATCAGAGGCACCAGTCCCAATGGTAGATTTTTATTGTTTTTATCATATTCTTTATTGTGTTACATGTTTGGTTTTGTTCGGTCTGTTTTTCTTTTAAAAGTGTATTTTTCATTTTAAGGGTTCTGGAAAGAAAACGTTAGCTAGGAAACTAGCACAGAGATGGAATTGCATTTTCATAGAAGGTAAACATATGTTATATTTGTAACATTGCATTGGCTTCACAATAACTTTTGGTTTGGAATACCCTCACTGTTCCCTGTAATTCAGAGGGCATGTTTCTGATTCCAGCAAAGACTTCTGATAAGAACCAAGTAACATTTTACCAGAAACAAAATTGCTGATAGTGCCCTTTTAGTTATCAAAAGGCTTAAAAAATGCGGGTTTTTTTCATTGTAATCAAATTCTATTCCAAATCCTGTAAGGTGATTCATGTGAACCTTCATGTTCACACAGAGGCAATTCATTCGATTCCAGAGACCATGAAAAAAAAGAGGGTCTTTCTGTTTGTGCAGTGTCCAATACAAGGGGATGTACTCCAGGAAAGAGTTATTTATCAAATGAAGTATCTTTATCTTCTTTTGAAGATTAGAAATTTTAACACGGTAAAATTCAATTTTGACTTAGGTATAGATCAAATTCTTAATTCATGGTATTGTATAACAAAAAAAAATTAATACCTGGTCCAAAAAATTGATCTGACCAAAATCAGAAGGGGCCTTAGGAATGTACTTAAGCCAGTCCACTCTGTTTGAATGTATTTAARCCAGTGCTGACAAATGTTCATCAAATTTACTTTAAAAAATTTTTAGGCATTTTATCTCTGTAACAGTCTTTGCTATTAGAAAGTTTTTCTTAGTGAGYGATCTAAGTTTCAGTTACTGCATTTTTAAGCCTTATTTCTAGTAGACTCAGGGAATTATTTATTCTTTTCTTATTTTGTTCACAGTATTTCTTCTAATCTTCTTTTGGCTAGTGTACCCACACGTGTACACGCTCATTTTTCAAACAGTAAACCTATTTTATTTTCTACTTCAAAAAAGAAAGAAACAAAGAAAATCAACTTACATAAACGTTAATAATTTATTCAGAAAGGACTTCCAGAGGTGATTGAGTCCAACCTTCCTCTCAGAGCAAGGTCAGCTAGAGTAGGTTGCTCAGTTGTCTGGAATATCTGCAAGGATGGAAACTCCACCTCCTTCAGAGAAACACTTTGCAATATTTGKCTATTTTCTTGATCAAAAATTGCTTCCTAATTACCCCATTGAAATTTCTCATGTTCCTATTTGTGTCTGTTGCCTCCTGTCCTAACTGCACTTCTGTGATGACCATGGTTCTGTCTTTGTGACCTCCTAGTAAGTAGTTTTAGACAGCAGTAAGAGCTGTCTGGTTTTCTCCAGGGTGAAYAAGGCCAGTTCTTTTGGCCTCTTCTAGTTTGTTTGACTTTTCTGATGGTTTTGGTGTCCTCCATTGAACTTGCTCCAGTGTATCAATACCTGTCCTCTGCTGTGTTAAAAATAAATCAAGATAGAATATTATTAAATAGGAAAGATGTTTGTTCACAGTCTTTTTAATTTGACATAATACTTTCTATTAATTTATCCAGTTAATAGGTCAATACTCAAGAATAAAACAGGACCCAGGTGCACACAGATTGGTGATGTGCAGTTGTCTGTATTGTTTATTAGTACATTCTCTGTCTTAGTTTGGGCCCGTGGCAAATACTGTTCTCCCAAATGTATTTGTAGTATGAAAGGTAGGATGTGTAGCAGTCATCATCCCTAGTAGGAACAATTCGAAAACAGMCATTGTATTTTGAGAAGAAAGATAATAGAGGTGTAGGCATGAGACACCTGGCTTTAGGACCTTTCCCTAGCCTAATTTATTAGTAATAGARCCTTTAGAGACATTCTTGAAAACTTCTGCTAAATGTCTGATTATTTAATTCATACAGAACTGTGAGAAACTTCCAGGGTCATTCTAGCATTATGTCACTGTCCACAGAGACATAAGGCGTTCTTTGAATGTGATGGTTGACACTKTTCTTAAAGTAGATGGTTTGTGTGTCTAAACAATTCTTCTAAATCTTGTTTTTTTAATTAAGAAAGTGATTGAGCTCAAATTCTTATCTCTGGATTACAAGATATTAATGCTGATTTAWTTTAAATCAATAGTTCAAATAATCCTGCAAAACTCCTGTTGTGCATTTTGTGTAGTATATACAGAGTTAAATTGTAGGGAGAAACACCTACCCAGACCTTGCCATAAAGCACCAGGTTCTGGATGAGCAAAATGTTATAATGGCCATAAATATAATGGCTGTCCATTCAAAAATAGTCTGGTTACTTGGAGCACACATACATCCTCCTATGTGTATAYGTATGTATGTATATACATGTACATGTCTGATTAGAAAATATATTAATTATTTTAATTTTCTTATGTTTGATATGCTTCCTTAGCTGCAGAAGTAATTCAGATGAATATTCAACAAGAAACAGAATATGGAGTTAAGGTAAAGGTCTAATCTTCTAATAATTTTCATCATATTGTTAACAAACACATACTATATAAGCCTTTGTTTTGCATTTTACCTTAGTGTCAAGAATTTCTTTATCGAGGTGAAAGTGTTCCTGAGGAACTGGTTACAGAAATGATTCTGCAAAAGATTGAGTCACCAGAAGTTGCTCATTTTGGTAAGTGTATTTATAGCCTATACTTCTTATAATGCACTAACTATAATTTTACATCCATTTTACATCCATTGGTGCTTAAATATAATATTAGCTTTTTCTTGTGCTCTTCAGGTTGTGTAATATCAATAAACTGGAAATGTGGTTAGGGATTAATTTACCAATATGAAAGATCAGAAATTGTCATACCAGTCCTATGTTGTGTTAATTTTGAGAAAATAATTTCCCCATAATTTAATTGTTGATATGACTCTTATTAGACAATATTATCAGTTTAGAAGAATTTTAGGATTTAAAATACAGATACTGTATTCTTCAATACTTGTATAACAAAAACGTAACAAAAACCCATCAGCAAAAATATTTTAAAAGTTTCAAGTATTGAAAAAGAAGGAAAACATTATTGAAAATGCAAAGTATTATGGCTTTTTCTTCCTCTTAAAGCATTATTTATTCCCTTTGCATTTTGTGACATGGTAAGACTGATGASAATAGTAATAGTAGTGGCTATAATTCTTCTATTCGGGGAAAGATTATGTTAATTGAGGATGTCGAGACAAGTGCTGCAGATCTTTCTACTTGTCTGAACTTGCTTTCCTGAAGAGAAAACCAATGTACTGCTAAGAGGAAAGGAAGTAAAAGGATTTTTTTTTTTAGTTTCTTTCTCTTGTTCTGACTTTTATTTTAAATTTCCATTATAGGGGAGAGGCAGGATTTTGTTCCTTCTCTAGTCCAAGACTCAAAAGTTTTGCAAATACCCAGCCTTATCCAGTGGAAATAGGCTGTTAATGCAGTATTAAAGAGAGAGAAATCAGAAAGAAAAAAGAGGGTGGCCTCAAAAAAATTCTGGAAGAGGTAGCAGCAGAAGTGCCAGTCTCTTAATCCATATTTTAGGACTTCAGTGAAGGCATGAAGAGGCATCTGTGTTATTGGAGCTCCCCTTCTTGAGTCAGTCTGATGATATGTGTATTACAGAGGAGCACAGAGGTCCTGGAGACTGTAAACATGACTGTGGAGTTCAGTAAAGTTTGGTTCTTGTAGCCAAGACRCTTTCTGCATTACAAATGCCCCAAAGCAGCAAGGAATAGAATAACCAGCATCCTCACTATTTTTACTAACAGCTAGAACTCATCTCCAAAACCACTTAAATGTTGTATAAAAAGCCTAAACTCCTAGTTTAAAGGCTTTAAATCATAGAGTGGCTACTTTTTGCAGTGCCTTTTATAAAGTGCTCTGGTGCCAAAAATGGTCACTGAAAGCTTGTGACTTGTGACTACGATGTCTGAGCTGGGCAGCTGGAGTAAGGTCTTGGTGTCTACATGTTTTTAAATGAGTTAAATGTTGAAAGTACTCTATAAAGCTGAGAACATTTTTTTTGTCTGTGTTTCATCTGAAGCAGAAAAAGGTGCCTTTTTTCTTATCAGTGTTATGTCATGTGGTTTAAAATTGTACCACTACATATATTGTTTAGAGGAGATGAGTATAACTAACTCTGCAATTGACAAACCCTCTAAAGTATGTTCAACCTTTTGGCAGGTTATGTTCTCACTGGATTCCCTTCTCTCTCAGAGGAATACATGACTGTACCACAGCAAATAGAGAAAATAAAGAACCTAAAATTAAAACCGGATGTCTTGATTAACATTAAGGTAACATCATCTTCAGTAACTTCCCAGTATTTTTCCTAGTTGTTAGTAGATTCGTATCCTATGTATGCCAAATATAATATTTTCCTTTGTGAACTTGAGTATAGAATTTATTGAGGAATGATAAATTGTTCTCTTTTATATTGGAAGAGAATTTCACTTTCCATTATATGCATTGCTCAGAGAAAACAATGAACATGTCCTGAAACTTCAACAGCCAATGTCTGTTTGCACCTCTACCAAGTAGAAGATACAGGTTTTCAAGAAAAAAACAACTTTGAATTACATTATTATTGTGGGATTTGGGACACATGTACATCTGCCACTCATGTAATACAGGAAGATACTACTCACATGTGGAAGTTAGAGAGCAAATTGTTTTATTTTTTCAGTCACTAATTGTGAAACTGCTTCATTATTAATTCATCTTGTTTACAGATATCAATTTCTTAATGAGCAGTGATGTGATGTATCTGATATATCCAGAGAAACATAATTTGTTGTTAGTGTGGGATTTAGAGGACTTTCTCAATGTAACTTCAAAGAATGGACTTGCTATGTCTGTATTGGTAAAGACAACAAGGCAAGAGGGAGTCTTCAGATGTCAGYCCAGCTGTTTTGGCCAGACACTGCGAAGGTGTCTTGTTAGTCAGAATGCGGTGGTAGTGCCCAAATTGCCCATTGGGAAAGGCCCAAGGTCTGTGCCCTTTTCCAGATTGTGCCCGGCTATTCACTGGGGAGGATTCTGACTGGCCCACACCAAATTCTGCTGGACTCCATGCAGGCAAAATAACCACATATATAGTCATATTTCAGGCCCTTCCTCTGGCAATGTTTTACTTATAATCAGCTAGATTATTTTTGTCTTTTACTTTGAATGTGCAGAATGAGCTGGTGAGACAGCTATGAATAGTTGGCCTCTGGTGGTGTGCTCCACTCTCATTATGATTTTGATTCTAGTTGTCATATCTATGTGTTTTGTCASATGCTCAGGGTATGGACCTATTCTATCACTTTGCAAATTTAATTCTGTGTTTGTTTTAATCCCATCCTTTTAAGACTTAATTTGCTTGAACGTGCATAATGAAATTTTGTGAATGCCTACCTCAAACTTTTTTTCTGTGTTCTCAGAAAGATCCTAAATWATCAAAGAAACATATTTTTGTGCTSYTTTTCAGGYAGATTTGATTTTTTTAAAAAGTCAGTCTTTGTTTTAAGTAGTGAGCAATCTTACGTATTTGCTAGTAGTGAGCAATCCCRGTTGTTGAGAATATATGTTGTATAGTTTCATGTGCAACAATACAAATAGAAGAGTGACACTWACTACACTRGAAAGAAAAATTAAATYCTTGACTTCATRTAGTAAYATCATCTCCTCTGGGAAAAGRACTGAGACTAAATRYACATTAAAAATCCTTGCCCCRAAGTCAAAGAAATAACTTCGCCTTTGATTTCAGTGGATTGAAGCTGTTTTCACAGATATGTCAGAATTATAACTATTTTYGTTAGATCAAAAAGAAAGGAAGAAGGCAGATTCTAGATAMCTGCAGCAATAATGAAATACTGTTRATAGTAGACCAATTTAGAGAAATTTTGTGTCTCTAAGAAAACGATGTTATAGCACTACAATAAACACATGATTTCATTTTAATTTTTCCTTGCTAGTGTCCAGATTATGATTTATGCCAAAGAATATCAGGACAAAGGCAACATCCTGATTCAGGAGAGCTATATCAGAGGAGCCAGTGGGATCCTAAACCTATTGAGAAACGTAAGAGAGAAAATCAGGATGAAGAAGAGGAGGAAGAAGATGAASAGCARGAAGAAGAAGATGTAAATATTGCTAATTCCTGAAAGTGCAAAACATTGCAATGTACTTTAGACAAAACAGAACAAATTCTGGTCTTCTAAACTATCACCACACTATGTTATGGATTTATTTTGCTCAACTTTAATCTTAATCCTGTTTCTACCCTACTATAAGAGATGTGGGGTGATACCTAAACAGTAGGTTTAAATGACAGCAAATGTTGATCATTGTATAGCTTAACCTGGACTCAGTCTTTAACTCAAGAGTCACCGATCTGTCTGTCTTGCCATAAATTAAAAGCATGTATCAGGAAGAGAAGGGTGACTCTACATTGTTTCTTGATCTAGACAAATAAGAGTTCTTAATTTTTGTTTATTGTAGCACCTTTTACTAGTATTTAGGGGACATTCCCTTGTTTTCTGGTTTYGGTGTTACACAACTACAAATGGATTTTCTTTTTTTTTTCACATTAATATTCAAATTTCAGATATTAATTTTGAATTCAGGTCAAATTTTTATATTAGGGGACAAAGACTTAACAGTGCAAGTTCTAGGCACATTGCTCTCAATTCATAGAAAGTACACTTCATCAGATAGGATCCTGGTCAGCCATTAGTGGACTAATACTCCTTGCAATACTTTGCAAAGCTACTTTGTTTAAATTTGAGTAAAAACAAAAATTATTTTGATACATTATTTCTGTACATTGAAATTTTGTTTTGCAGACTCCAGGAGGTCAGCGTAAGAAATTAGAATATTTTCATGAAGTAGTGCATAGGCCTGAAGATTCTCTTGAAAATGCAGAGAAAAGAATTGGATTATACAAGGATATGCTGCTTCATCCTTTAGAAGTAAGAAAAAGTAAAGTGATATGATTATGGATAACAAAAGATTTTTAAAATAAATTGCACTGTTTTGATTATTTATTTTAGTTTGAGATTTATTGTATTGCGGTGGTCATGATACAACATATCCCCAAGTTCTGAAATTTATTCTGAAATCCATGATACAAAGTAGATGTTTTTTCTACTCTGGAGTCAAGATAAAGTAATCCACTGAGTTTTAAAAGTGAAACCATACCTGCCACCACAGATGCTGTCTAAATCTATTTTTTTTATTTTTCTATCTATCTAAATTTCAGAATGCAATCCCATAAGKAATCTGCATCCATTGTCTTCCACTCCAATAGATTCCCCTCCTCACCTGCTTCATTGTCTGCAGATATATACTCAGTAATTAGCCCATCAGTTTGTTTTATCACTTATTTAATTTTTKCAGCTGTGACATTTTCCTGCCCTGTTGTCTTCAGGAGCATGGTTTTACTGCATGTCTTCTTNCAGATCAGGTCCAAAGCAATAATTTATTATTTTCTTTTGTTCTTTTTCTTTTTTTTTTTAATCTTCTGATACAAACAACTGCAAAATCCTCTTGTTTGATGCCCACTTGACAATTAGTGTTTACACCTTTTGATTTCCCTATGGGTTAGTTAAACCTATGRATAAAATTGTGTAAAACTGGTGTAAGGTTCTTGCTAGAGTAACAATCCTCTTACTCCTGTGAAGGGGAAAAAAAGTGTTATCTTTAATCTTTACAATCCCACATAGATTTCTCATAAGCAAACTAATGGAAAGTTGTTTAGATTAAATTACTTTAGGATGTACACCAAACTTCAGCAGTTTCAACACATTCCACTGGTATGGAACCCCCAGTTGGCAGGGTTCACGTAGGATTCACTAGTGATGAATGTATTGGTGAAGGTGCTTGGTGGTCACTAAAACATTAAAAGAACATAGGGTTTTGCCATTGGCAAAATGATGAGATGATGAAATTGAAATTGAAACAAAAAGCTTATAAGGTGTGCAGTTTGCACTGATAGGGAGATAGGTAAAATGAACTTTGGAGGACATACTTTGATTTATTGATAAATTGTTGGGATTGAATTTTTGACCTGAAATAAATGTTAAATACTGCAGTGAGGAAGGAAACTAATGAAAAACTACAATATATGAAATTATTATCTAAACACTACCACATATGAAATAATTGTCTAAACCTGAGTACTTCAGACMATCTGCAATCTGTGGGGATTTAGCTAGTCAAAACTGAGTCAATAAATGAGATGCTGTTGTAAAAACTCGAATACTATGGATGTGCTAATAAGACTGTAAGACCATCATATATAAAAGAAATATAAAGTATTATCCTCTCTTTAGAAGAGTATTAGAAAGAATTGATTAGTTACTATCTCCAATTATTTCTAATTAGTATTATTTCTRCCACAGATAGGACAGATGATTTAATTTACAGAACAGAAGACAGACTAGATGATGAGATGACTCAGGATATGAGCTCTGACCATAAATGTAGTGAAGAAGTGGAACAGATTACCTGCCAAGTCACCTTCATTAGGCTTTTTTAGGCCTGAGGTTAGACCAGCATTTGTCAGGATTGGAGTGAGTGTTCTCAGACCTCAGAGAGAGTAATTAGCAACCTACGTGGGATGTTTGTTTTAGCCTGAGACCTTATTTGCTGGTCTGAAAATTTAAAATATGAATAAGAAAATAAGAAAAAATTACTGGCATTTCCAAGAAATGTATAAATTGATATTGTTATCATTTCCCAGGGATGAATGAAGGTAGTTAGACAATTAAAAGTTGAATTAATACACAGAATGTTATTGTATCTTGATATTTTTTAGCTCTCTTTGAGCTAAGACATCTAAGATACCTTCTGAACCTATTGTAAGCCCAGTTTTGGAATTATCTCTATATTTATCTGTCATCAAATAAAAGTTTTTCTCCAGAAGATTTTATAAGCCATTAGTACAATTACTTTTGATTTTTCTGAAGTCCCCAGGAGTCCAGACTTTGGTATGTATAGGAACAGAATGAGTTTCAATGTCATCATCTGCTTAGCTATACTCAGTTGACAAGTATGCCTTTGTTCTTAAATAGGAGTTATTGACTGAGCAGGATTGTCGATATCTTATTGAAGTGGATGGAAATCAGCAACCAGACGTTGTCTTTGAGGTAAGTAAACCATGCACCAGGTAAATTAATGTCCACTAGGAAATAATTACTCAATTCTGTGGATCATTTTCCTGTTGGAAAAATTTTCAGTTGTGTTTAAAACTCATTCATTTACATTAGAAAACATGATTTTTTAAATACTTGCCTTTCTTCCTCTGTTAATTGTAAGATTCATTGCTCTACCCCCATGCTTGCATATATGTCACATGAGAATATTCTCAGGCAGGCTGCAAACGTTTATGTTCTGATTTCAGTGCTTTTTCTGATGTGTATTAATGTAAAATATAATGAGAAATTAAAATATCTTCAGTTTGATGTATTTACGGAATTGGCTTATTTTATGCTTGTGTCTAAAATAATATATATATTATAAAATGGAATAGGATTTTTAATATTTTGATATTGTTCTGCAATATAATAGAAGCTCTTTGATTCTTGTGAGAATTCTGCTGAGTGCTTGTGTCCAGATTTTTAGCCTGTAACAWAGCAACTTGTTCTCCCTGTTAAAAAACCTACGGGGCTAAATTTTGATGATAAATAGTCTTACCCTCTGCCTCATAGCAAAAGTTGCTTCAAATCAGAACCTAGAGAATGGGGTTGAAAATTAAGTAGGAGATTGTATTTGRTAAGGTAAGAAGTGAACTTCTCCTGCATTTTCTCCCCTGTTGTTTGAAACAAATTGCATTATTATAATTCTGTAAGTTAATTATTTCAGTTTATGCTTAATTCTACTACCAAGAGTGGTCCTATGGGGAAAAAAAAACAAGTAACTTTTCAGCATTAGAACATACAATTTTCTCATTTATGATCTGTTTGTGAACATTAGAACACAAAATTTATAGTAAATGCAATCAAATTATGTTATGATTCCAACTGTTTTACCTACAAGTAAGGCAAAGACCTATTATAAAGCTAGCCCAAGCATGACAGAATTTGCTTTTTCATTTCAAGAACAATTGCTTTCAATCAAGATTACATTCAGGAAATACTTCAAATAAATGTAATACCATCTAATTCTCATTGGTAGGCACTTGGTTGAAATACCTTTTAAAATAAACTAGCCAAAGTTGTATTGCTTCTGAATGTGCATAATCTGATTTCCTGAAGAGATTTGCCTCTTTTTCTGATTTGAGCTTATCTGAATACTTGCACCGCCTTTGGGGAACATTCACAGCCTAATCCTTTAGAAGGCTTGGGATTCACTGCATAATAAGGATATGAAGGCTGTGATTTGGCATTTTGCACTGCCTGTACCTACCAAATAGCTTATTAAAACTCAGCTCAATAACTAGCATGAGTCTGAGCTAGAAACGGGGCCTTAGTGTATATGTAGCCATTATATAAATATTAAGTTACAATTTTACATATACTTTAAGGGCCCCCTTCAGATGGCAAAAGCAGCTTTGATTGGTACTAAATCAAGAATTCTTTTCTCTTCAGGCAGTYGTAGGCCGACTTCAGTCTATGGAAGTTCAAAATGCAGCTCCTATAACCAGRCTTCAAAGTGAACAAGATGACATGCTAGAAGGAAAGGAAGATGTAAGCATGCTTTTCTAAAGTGTAATAACTAGAAATTTTTTTTTTTCTGCTGTAAGCTTATATTGTAACAACTTTGTTTCACAGCAACCAGTTTATTTTACCATTCAGTAAGGGCATTTTTTAAGCCTTGACCTTTCAGAAATGAGAATTTAACATAACACTGGGGCTGAAATCCACTTAAAAAGTATGAAAATAAAAAAAAAAATCTGTCACTACTTAAAAAWAAGGTGATGATTTTGATAAAACTTTGAACAAAATGGTTGTTTTAGCAATAGAGGAAGAATTAATTCCTTCCAAGGAAATGAAGAAACTTTAGCCAAAGGATAACAGTCTCAGCAACTGATTCTTAACTCAGTCTACTCTTTTCCTGAATAAGAAACAACATGCTAATCCAAATCTGGCAATATTAGGCATTACTGAAATCACATTCATTCTATTTTCCTGTAATTAATTAGAAATGACACATTAGTGCTGATATTTGCTGAATCAGGGCGATTATGACTTGTGTCCTTTCCAAATAAGATTGAGAACTAGAAGTCTTTGCATGAATGTTGTCACCTATATTTAGTTGCGATCATCTTTCCTATTTCTTAAACAAAATATTGAATMTATGCATGGAACTGTAACAGGGAAACCCCACATTTTCAGAGAAATACCCCTCCCTTCACTTTTCTGTTTTCTCAGTTCTCAACAAATTTACAAGTGAAAGATTTTCTATGTCAAACRTCATCTGCACTTACTATTTAATTATTTTGTGTGTTGCTTTTAGTTTGTGTGTAAGCTTTTAGTAGCCACAGTATTCAGGGCAAAGAGTTCTGCATCTTAACTGAACATTACTTTGTAGAAATTTGCTTCCCTTGGTGTTGAACCTGCAGCCTTTTAGCTGTGTGTCCTCCAGTTTATATGCAGAAGACTAGTTCTGTTCTCTATATCTAYTCTCTAATAACTCATGATTTCAGACTTCTGCCCTGCTCTTATGTAGCTATACTGAAGAATCCCAGTCTATATAATTTTATTCCTTCTTACTTGACAATCTTTTTGTGGGATTGATCAGTTATATTACCTTTTTCTGGAACTTCTTCCATTTTACTGTGTTCTTTCTGAGTTTAAGGCAGTGGGAGGCAGATTGCAGTAAAGATGAGGGCAATATTTAAACAATTAAAACATAAACCCTTATTGTCTATTTTCTCTTTGCTCAGCATTCCTAATATTCAGGTTTGTATTCTGACTGCTCTTGTGCATTGACAAAATGGTTTCACAGAGGAATTATTTCTGACTAGTGACAGTCAGTGAAAAGTCAGAATTTTCTGTGTAAAACTGCTATTTTAATGCCTAGGTTTGTAGGTTCTGGAAGTTCTTCTGCAGTTYGTCACAGCCAGCACTTGTCTGTACTGTTCTGAATTTAGAGTCACCATGACTTTAGGATTCACTCACTATTCACATTCTGTAAAAAGGCTGTTAAATTTACTTATATCATAAGGTATTTCTGCATGCCTAAAATAGATATTCTGACATTGTTATTCCCTGACACAGATCATGGTGTCTTTTTTCATCCCTTTTAAAAGAAATCTTGACCATTTTCTTTTGTCTTCAATAAATGGCTCTTTTTAATTTCAAACTTCTGAAAATAATAAGTAAAGCCTACAGGAGCTATTTGAAGTACTACTTCTTTTAAATAATCCTCAAAAATGAAGTACTTTCTCTTTTGAATTATCTTATGGTTCTGAAATATATGATTTTTAAAAAATATTCTAAAAATGATGATGTGGTTTTCTTTTTAAGTTTGCTTATTTTCCATCRAAAGGTTTTTAGAAAGTCTATTAAAAAGTCATATGTAACTTCAAACAAAAATTACACTTGTTGCTATTGCTGTTTTAATAAACAGGATGAACTTTTCCGGGCTCTGTCATCTTGCAATCTGATAGCGCCCAGATATCGATGGCGCAGAAGCAGGTGGGGACAAGCGTGCCCTGTGGCTCTAAAGGAAGGGGACATTGTAATGGGAAGCCCAGAGTTTGCTGTCAGGTTAGTGAATTTGACACTCTTAATTTTTGTATCTATTTTATGAGATAACTGTCTATATCTCTTAGCTTCTCTTCTTTTGTAAGTTTTCTAGGTAAAATGTATGTACTGTCATCTCAAGAGGCATTGAAAAAATTTATGTTGAATCCACGGCCTTACCTCTTACCTCCAATGCCAGTTCCTCCTTGTAAAGTATTTGTGTTTGGTCCTCCATTATCTGGAAGAACAACTACTTGTAATGCAATTGCACAAAATTATAAAGGAAAGGTAGGTTCATAAATGTCTTTGGTACAAGGGCATCAGCTAAGGCTTGGGAATCAGTTAAGCWTATTTATGTGTTATTAACATTCACATTGCAAATGTAGGGATTACAGAGGAAACAAGGATTTTAGTGAAATTCATTTTTATAAAAGTAGCTCCAGATCAAAAATACTTTTATATACCCTCTTCTGTTCCAGTTGTCTTAGTATTAGAATATTATGAATAACTTTTGCATACAAGATAATTAAATATAAATGCAAGTTAAAAATAATGTCTTTTTCAGAAAACCYGAACCCTGCACTTGAATTATATGTCATTTTTTCTGCAATTTTGAGAGTTTTTTCAAAATAGTTTCATTTTATAGAAGTTGGATCAGATGCTATCTTTGTCTTTGGTGATATCTGTATTTTTTCAAATCATTTCACTAGGTTCTTGATATGGACCAACTCATTCAACAATATAAAGAGTCAAAAGAAGAAAACCCTGAGGAATTCCAAAAGCGTGCAGTAGAAAAGGCTATAGCAGCAGTGAAAAATAGATTGGAATTAGAAGAACAATTGGAAGAATCAGGTGAATAAACTGTTCCATGGTCTTTGAAACTGTCTTATTTGCTTTACATTATTTAATTGAAACAGCTTCCATGACGTCGACTTAGAAAAAGTTGCAGAAGTTTTCATTATTTCTGTGTATTAAATATTAATTCAAACAATATGGCAGTGAAGGGAATAGCTCAGTAAAACTTAGTATTTTTTACACACACATATATATACACAAATCCTTTGAATTTGAGGGCTATGTAAGAGAGTTTTCTGAACTCTGAGCTGAAAAAAGAAATTGGTTGTGACTGATACTGGTTGAAAACATTTTATTTTGATGACTCTCTGACAAGTTAAATCTCTGCAAAAATAAAATACTCCTTAAGAAAGCAGTTTCTCAGCTGGACTGATGTGAATCCACAATCTACAGATTTTTCACTTTGGAGCTGCTTTCCAAGTATGCTGTCACAGATGGCACATCCATAAGTTGCTCCAGCTCTGGTCACATTTAGACTTCTTAAGCCACCTAGATTTCTGCAGCTTGATGAATTCCATAAATATTTTGAAAAGGGGAAAACAATGTCTTTTAAACAAAATTTGTATTTTTTYCCCCCCAGAAAGGTTAATGCAGGCTTGTCAAAATGATTTCTTTTGAAATGAAAATGCTCTGTTGAGTAAGAATTGCCTTTTTACACTTACTTGGCTCTAGTCATGGGTCCAGTGGACAATCAGGCCATTTTGCCTTGCTCACCTCAGCAAGGAATCACCATGTTTGGCTTTCTCATGGGTAGATACATCTAACAAGAGGTCAGAATATTCCTCTAGTGCCACCAAACAAGTGCTGACAGTGATAAAAATATCATTGGCATTGCAGGAAGAATAATGGTAAGCTGTGACACCAAAATTAGAACAGTTAAACCCTGTCACATTCCAGACTCCTGGCTTTTGAGGACAGGGATTGAGATCCTATTAGGATTAATGAGAAATTAATCCTAATTAATAACTTTGGAGAGCTCAGGCAATTTTATTGCAAAACTGAAGCACAAACATAGGTTTATTTTCCCTTACAAATCTTTTTATAGCATAAAATATTGTTTCAGAATTTTTTAATCAATAATGAGATATTTGAGTTTGGGCTGCATTGAGTTTTTTTGCATAATGGAAATTATTAAGATGCTGTGCCTTTTTCAGGGACATTGTAACTTCAAAAAAATAACCTCATAAAATTATACATTTGTGCATTTTAAAAGTATCAATACAATCATTGCAAAATCCTGACATAATTACAGAAAATAAATATGACCTTTTTTYCAAATTGTACTCATAGTAGATACTGTAGTTGGCTAAAACAGTTCTTCACCAGATTTTATCAAATTAACATGTCAATTGTGAGTGATCCTTAAAAAACTTTTAAATAATTATAGTTGTGCCAGCAATTAATAAAAAATGTGGGTCCAATGTGAATATTCTGTACATCTAGGGAATGCAGGCTTCTTGATTGTTTAAAGTGCACTTTCTTGATCTAACATTTGTATTGATTTTAAAATTAATGTGGTCCACCTTTTGATTAGGAATCAAAGAGAAATCAAATCAAAGGAAATTCTTGAGTGCTGCAAGTGCCTGATTCTTCTACTACAGAAATGTCATTCTCTTCATATTGAAACATATGATACTTAACTTAGAGGTAGAAAATGCTATACAGTTAAAAAGGTTGAGTTTTTAATAATAGGAGATCATAGAACTTAGGTTTATGAAACACTCTCTAGATTTGCATTCAGAACCTGGTGTTCATTTCTTTCTCAGTGCAATTGTGTGGTATTGCTTTAAATGACTGCTGTGCTTGAGTAATGATTTAATGCTTTATTTGATTTCKGATTTCCAATTGAAATAATTTCTAATTTCGTTGTGAAGTGCTTTTAAAAAAATTATATTGTTACAAATACCAGAGGTAACTGCTGACGATCCAGAAGTTCAGGCCATAGTAGAAGAAGCCATGAAAAGTGATGTTACGTCACCTCAAATACATGCTGAAATACTGGAGGATGCTATTGCAGAGGTAAGATTACAAGTAGTGTGTGGCAAACACTTTTTTCCTAAGAGCAACTTAACAGTTTATACATTATCCATATATGTTCTTAATTTTCCTGTTTGATCTGTTTAGTTTATATTACATAGCCTTAAAGCTTGCATAGGATTGAGGAGAGACTGAAGAAGGTCATAAAAGGCATATCTGTTGAGGACTATATGTGTGTATATTCACACACACATACAGAAATTATGTATGTCTTGAAAATTACCTGAGCTACAAATCGTTAAAGGCTGGGAGAATTATCTGAGGGGTAATTGTATGCTTTATTCTTATGTTCTTTGTCACTATTAAAGTCCAGATATAAGAGTTTGAAAAGAGTTTGTTTATGAAAGTTTATTCTCAGATCTTAAATTTAAATTTGTCCAATGGTGTATAGCTATCGAAACTGAAGTCTAWATTCTTTATAGGCAAGCTTAAAAAATCACTGTCATATTAGGCTCTCTTTGTTACAAGTGTTTTTAATTTCATTCAGCCATGTAAAGTTAAAAATGTCATTTTACTGACCAGAAATTACAATAAGGAAAAATCATAACTTTTAGAAAATCATTTTGTATTGTGCAATCTTTTTAGTACAGCTGACAGACTTAAATCTTTTCTATATTCCTGAACCTGACATTTTTAACAGCTTATGAAGACAAACAAAGACAGGTTTCCTGGTGCTTCAGAAAAAGGAGGGTGGGTAGTGGATAACTACCCTCTGTCAGCAGATCACTGGGCAGCTTTATCAGAGAAAGAACTTCTACCTGATACTGTTGTCTGTCTGAAGAATACAGTGAATGATGGTTAGTAAATGCACCCTAATGCATCTTCATGTTTTCTTTTTTTTTACCCTGTTGATATCTGTATATTATGAGAAAAACTAGTTGATACGTATCATTTATAAAGCTTCAGGGGTCTAAAAAAGGAATCAACGAGATTTCTTACAATGTGGAGTAAGGGAATTACACAGAATTGAAAATGGGAATGCTTTGCTATAGCAGTAAAACAAATTCCTCCTATTTATAATCAAATTTCAAATTTTCCTATTTACAACCAGTGGTAAATACCAGTTTTTAGTTTCAGATTTTTGCATTCTTTGGCTGGCTAGCAACCACCTTGCAATGTAGTCAAATTTCTCTGCCTTGGTTTTCCAATTTGCAAAATCACATTACAGGTCTGAAATTTCTCAGCTTGAGAGAAAAGGCAGGGGGTGAAATACCTGTATGCAGGTGCGGCCTGTTCTCCATTCTGCGATCAAAAAAATTAGTAACTTCTTACCCAGATTAATACCACAGTTTAGTATCCATGAATTCAGAGTAAGGGGTTTTTACTTTATTCTTTCAAGCTGGAAGGAAGGTTGGCGCCAGCCATGAATAAGTGAACAGATTCATATGCTGTTAAAAGTTTGCCTGTCAAACCATGTCTTCATGTCTTATATCTGCTTGAATCATACCACACCACAAGTTTAATTGTCCTTTGGCAATGTTTGATCATTACCTGTTCAACAACGTCCATTCAAAATAGGCGTGATAGGTCTATTTAATATGTAGTTTAAGAAAGCTCAGTAGATGCCCAACATTGGAATCAGTCCAGAGAAATTTTCGAATTCTTGTCCTTAAATATGAAAATCAGCATGAGAGAATCAAGGTTACACAGTTTACTCAGAGCAGATTTCTTATTTCATTAGTAACTTCTTTTTTTCTCTTTCTTTCCTGAAGGGAAGAATTTGGGAATTCACAGCAGAGGCTTTCAAGTTAAGGCCTCTCTAGAGCCTTGCAAATATGGTGCTTCCTTCCTGCAATATACACCTCTGCCATTTCCACTGGTTCTCAAAACCTAGCTCTCCATTGCTTGCTCTAATCTGAACAATCTATTTTATACTCTTGGTAGCATAAAAATTGCCTAAAAAAATGTAGCTTTTTGCTTATGGATACCTTCCCTTGAATTTAGCTATTTTGTTTCACTTCATTATTTTTATTTGCACAATTGTGTTGACTRTTTGATTCCTACCCATTTCTGTCATTCAAATAATCATATAGTTGTGGAATTTACATTTTCACCGCATTTTAGTCATTACTTTGTAAGCTGTTCCCTGACCTAATCTAAACCATCATTAAGTCCACTGATGAAAAAGGGTTTCAGCCACACAGCCTCATATCATAAATCTGTTTGCCCAAGTAAATATGTCAGGAGAATTCCTAGAAGGAACAGCATATGCCTCATTTCTGTCAGCTGTAGTGGTGGAGATGTGTACGTYGTTTATATCTTTATTTGAATGTTTTTCATTTGCTTCTTCATAGCATTCTTGGTACACTTGCAAATAAAATAAATGTCAGAGTAACACATGATATATGAAATTATAAATCCTTTCAATTCTCCCTTTATAACCTTCAGAACATTCCAATATCCCAGATTTAGTTTATTAAATGCATGAAATTGAAAAAAAAAGCTTTAAAACTGTAGAAATTAACAGTATAGTAACATTTCAATTGTATATATGCTTTTTGTTCACTTTTAAAAAAGTTGTCTGTAATTTATTAAATAGTGTTTGGAACCCAATAAGTTTAGTTTTATACAGATGCAATAAAGTCATTACTGTTATGTGATTGTACTGCAGGAGCGTGTATACTACGCAGAGCATAYTTAGCAGAGAGAAATGAAAGACCAACAGATGAAGCATTAGAAAACAAAGAAGATGAAGCAGGGTAAAATATTCCAGATGTCAGAATATATAAATTGAGCACAAGAAAATGCTAGCCTCAACTTGTGTTAAAGGTGTCAGTATRTTTATTAACACAAATTAACTAAAGCAGTACACTAAGACTGGTTATGATGTATGGGAAATAATGCAATATGTGTTATCTTTGAGGAATATTTCATTTATATTAGTGTATGTGGTGGCAGAAAAATCTCTTTTTAAATGCATTTTCATTAGCCTTTCATTAGTTCAACCTTTTAATGCAGTGAGACAATAACGGTTTAGATACTAACATATATATGATTTTTATTTTTTACAACCCAAATTATATTTCCTCATCTTTACATTTAATATATCTGCAACTTGTTTCAGTAATATTTATAAAGGTCTTAAGACAAATAAACTTTTATTTACAGAGAAGAAATGGAAGAACCACTGATGCCAGAGGAAGATCAGTCTCTAGGTGCTGCTGAACAAGGTGAAAGCGTGTGTCATTTGACTTCTATTTATCTAATTATGTGTTTCAATCATTTAGTGTTTTGGGTTTTTATGGAGACTTTCCAGTTTTGATTTCCTTTTTACATTCAGCATCTAGAAAAATTACTTTTTCTTACTATCTTCACTGATTCAGGCCCATTTCTGTGTGTCATTCTTCATTTCTGTGTGTCATTCCTCRTGGATGTTACAGAATAGAGATTGTTTTCATTAAATCAGCCAGCACTGTTGCAGTTTTCAATAAATCCAAAGGACAGGACTCTATCTCCCCTAGTAATTTTCCTAAGTGATTATTAACTGTCTTGAAACTACTCATCAAAAAATCTGTGTGTCTTCGGAAATTACAAAATATGGTTAGAACTTAGTCAATAGTTAATGAGAAAATGACAAAACTGCCTGATTCTCTGTTCTTCCTCTAAGAAGTTCAGCTTGTAGTGATTAAAAGGGAATAGAAATCAGTTCAGGAATGGCTCTCTTAACATTCATTAAGAATTTSTCAGCCTGATAGCAATATACATTATGAATTGCTGAATCCAGAAGCCCAGTAGAGGTGAGGCTGCTGCAGTTCCATATCCACAGGACCATGCAATGAGTCTGAGCATATATTGCCTTTTCCACTTTCATCCTCTTCTTACTCTGTTATCCATGCTTGTTCCTCTCCAGTCCACTTTGATCCTTCCTTCTCCTTCCCTTTGATCCTTCTCAGAAAAGCCTCCTAATATTATAAATCTCCCACAATCCCAAACTGCTTTTCCTTAGGCATTCCCTACTGAATCTCATGCCCTGTAGGCAGTAATCCATCTTAGCCAGAGAGAGCTTCTCCGTGTGACCCATCTCAATATATTTCATACCCAGACAAGGCCTTCATCATCATCTTCTAATGGCCTGGAGGGATGTCAAGTCAAGATTCTATTTTTCTGATTAAGTTTCTGGGGTTCACCCATCTGTCATTGTTCCTCCCCCAGTTTGTGCTTATGGAAATCAGTCTTCAACAACATAATTTAATATCATATAAAAAAACCCAGAATTCTGTGTATTGCATGGGGTTTCCTCTCTYTTGACAATATTAATAAAACATTTCGGGTAATGACTTTCTTACTTCACTGCTTTCTATATTAACAGAACCACATATTTTTTTGTTTCCTGTAAAGATCCTACTGTTATAKCAGAATTGTGTTATACTTAGTTTCCAGCAGAGAAAATATAATTGCCCTGGGCAGAAGTGAATAATCTGTGAKGAGTAAGATTTTGGCAGCAGGCCASCTGTCACAAATGGGCTGGATTTTTGCACCTCAGAGAATTCTGTCAGTTGGATTGAGCTTTAGAATTAGATCCTGTAAATTTCAACGGTTTCAACCTCAATAGTTGAAAAAGTTGCAGGATTTTACTCCCCTTTTAKCCTTCTTTAATCACTGTCTACTTTCTTAGAAGAATGTTTCTGTCTGATTTGGATCTGCTGTCAAGATGAATTATCATGCACAAGTATTTATCCCTGTGTTATGAATTAGGCTGGGGACTTTTGAGTATTTTCTTTCTCTGCTGTGCAGTCTCAAGATTTCCCATTYATAGCCTAAGGTATCATGCAAGGCCTAGAGATGAAACTTAAAATGGAAATGCATGAATTCTCACTTTTTTTTTTTCTCATCAAGGGCCTGGATTGCCACTTACTGTCTTTCTTTTAAACACAGCACACTGATTTTTGTACAAAAATACTATGGCCAAGCTTCAGTTCTGCATTGCCAGTATGTCTCACACACATTTTCTTTCATTACCTAGTGTGGCATTTATTTTCCATCTATATAACAAGGCCTAAGTTTTAAAGGTAGTGTAAGATAGACTGAATAAGACAACATGCTTTTAATTTTAATGAGGTAACATTTCACCTACTCTGTGAAAAAATGCTCAAGCTTTCTAGGGTTCTTTAATTGCATGTAAGCATTTTTTAAAATCCACACTATAACTTTTTATAGTTTCTAATAAAAACACAGCCCTTCTCTAAAGTGAATGAATCCTACAGTATTAAATATAAATGTTTATACAAAGATACTCTGTCATCCATGTCTCAAACAACAAAGTTCATCTTAGTTTTGAATATCTAACTGATTTTGATCTGAGTACATCAAGACAAAATTTATTAATGCTAGAAGTAATGATGTCATGTACACAGTTGTGCTCCTAACGCATTTTAAGTCCTTGTTCAAAGAAAGTCATGTTTCCCTATGCCTACATTTTATATCAATAATCAAACAGTGACTCACCAAGACACTTCAGTCATGCTGCCCTCAGCCTGACATCATAATTTATTTCACATGTAGTGCACATATTCCACACACTGACTGCAGCTTTTCTCCCATGTAACATATCTTTGCAATATAAATGAATATTCAGAGTTCACATGATCACAGTTTGGTGGTGGTTTATAATATGTAACAGTTATAAATAATGTAAAAATGATAACTCAGAAGAATTCTCCAGAGCCCAAATCATRCTCTTTTGGTTTTTCATACATGGTATCCTATGGGAATGGCTCAAAGCTGCACCAGGAGAGGTTTAAAATGGACATTAGGAAGTTTCTTTACTGARAAGGTGGTCAAACACTGGAACAGGATTCCTAGAGAGATGATTGATGCCCTGAGCTTGTCAGCATTTAAGAAGCATTTAGGAAATGCCATTAATAACATGCTTTAACTTTTGGTCAGCCCTGAATTTCTCAGATACTTG